GTTATTTACCAATCAATATTCAGTCATTCAATGATGGTCTTCTTACCTTTTCTATTTATGTGAATCTAAATGATAGAATCAAATCGCTCTTACCATCAATTTATAAATATTTATTTCACAGCTGCCCAAGAATTGCAAAATTGAAATGTCAAATAGCATTTTTGTAGGAACAAAATTTCCTCATAGAGGAAAATAGTGATTGATGAAGTTGAGTATACAACAAAGGAAAATATAGAAGATTAGTATGCCATTACCTGCTTTTAAATTGCTGGCGTTGAGTAAAATCAGTTTTTTGTTCCCACCAAAGTACGAACGTGTTTACTCGAGACACATATTTTAGCTATTATCTTTTATTTAGTTATCAGTGCTAATGTTATGACAAAGTAAAATAATAGCATTACTTGCTTGCATTCGAAAATACTGGCAATACCTTATATAACTGCAAAAGGAGAGTGAATGGTAGAGTTTGTTTGAGCAAAACCATTAGGGGTACTATAATCCATCTTAGAGCATCTCTAGAAGACCCCGTATAACGCCGCGACCCGCAAAATAACCGTCAAAATACAGGTCCGCGCGGAAAATCCTGCCCGACCAGACCCCGCAAACGCGTCCGACCCGTATTTTTTTTTGCGGGACGCGGCATAATTTCCGTCCCAACCCGCGAAAAAGCGGGTTCCCTCCTCGGCCAGTCGGCACCCTGTATATAGCAGGAGCGATTGGTGAGGGGAACATTTCAGCCCGCGCTTTTCCCCACCCACCGCCGCCCCTCTCCCCTCGCCCCGCGCTTTTCCCCACAACCTGCCGCCGGGCCGCCGCCTACGATTCCGGTCAAAAGAGCCGGCGGGATCATGCCGGAGGGCCGCCACATGCCCGAGCTTGCCCTCCGCCACATGCCGGGTGGTCGGAAAGATTTGATGAATTACTATGTGTCCGATGCCGTTGAAGAAAATAAAAAAGCAAAGAAACGTATTTTCATGTGTGAAATTGAAACAATGCCGACCCATAAAAGAGTATATTCTGTGAATATTCTTTTTTACGTGTCCGTTTTGTGGGGTCTGACTCTTTCGCCGCCCGCGCCGACCCGCAAAGCCGTTTTTTCGCGAACTGCATACGCGTTTTGCGGGTTGGCGTTATACGGGGTCTGCTAGAGATGCTCCAGTGAGCAAACTGCAAAAAAAAAAAAAATAGACCACAATTGAGGACCCTAAATAAAAAAAACACTGATTTTCATTTCATTTCATTTTGAAAAAGATATCTGGTTTCAAGGTGACAGTTTACAGACTGATACAACCTTTTGAAACGACTATTCAAAATCGTTCAAGATAGTGAGCTGAGTATCAAGATGTAAGAACTTTCCTCGCCTAGTTTCAGGATGCAGGCGGACATGGATGTCCACGGCGTGTTACGCCAGCGTCGCTCTAATGACGCAAACGGCCTTGCGGATGAACTGCAAAAATGACACGGACTTGTCGGACTTGGCCCGCCTAAGAGCATCTTCAACAGATGCGCGCTAAAAATATTTTGCAACGCTGAAATAGTGTTTTTACGCGTGTAAAGTTTACCAGAAGCATAAAAACCCGTCGCCCAACCCAACGGCGCCACATGCAGCAGCCCGCGCGCACAAGCCGACATCTTAAATTTGCAGCCCCGCTGCCCGCGTGCGCAACTTTGTTTTTGTGCGTGCTCTATTTTACAGTTTCTGCTTGACCGCTGTTTTTGAGCGCGCGCTTTATTCGGCTGGCGTGCAAGGCAACGTCCGCATCTGTCTGCCAGGAAATAGCAGGCAGTCTTACTTCGCTATTCCTCCTATTCGCAACTTACCCTGCTTCGCTGAGTGGAAAGTTCAGCGCAGTACGTCCGGAGAGAGAGAGAGAGAGAGAGAGCAACAAAAGCGGCACACGAGCTGGCAAGCTATGCTCGAATTCATTCTCTGTTGGATAATTCTGTTTCAGTTTTACAAAGCTTTCTTTTCCATCCGAAAAAATAATGTGCTGACCCAATTAGTACATGATACGGCTCACCGCGTGGATTACCCGCCCTTCCAAACGTTCAGTTAACCTTCCAGTTCATCCTAACAACAAATTAATCAGCTTAATAAACGGTGTTCCAGGTTTTGGGTTCGGACTTCGGAGTGTAGACAGATCTACGCCCGGCAGTTGACGTCTGTTGTGTTGCGAGCGCCCTGCCTTCCTCTGCCGAGACCTTGGCTGCCACTGCTTTCTTGTGGTCGTATACGTATTCCTCAGTGACCAATCAACGTGATGATCAAGATATGCAACACGAAGGAAATTGAGCGTATGCGATGTCGCTTTCTACTGCCGTCGAATCTTTGCTATTTGCAAGCATGATCT